TGTATTTTGTTTACACTTTCAAGGGTGAGAGTGATACTTTTCGGAGGGAAAGTTAGAGTCTATAATATAATATAATTATATGGCCAAATTGATGTGGACTATTTGGATAACCATCCAAATTGAGTTTCCAGTGAAGGGTACTCCAAAGACATTTTAGACAATCGTACCCTTCCAACAGTTTGGGTAAGGCCCTTTTCTGTTCCAGCATGCCTGTGTCCCTGTGTAAGAAAGACAGCTCTATAAATACATGGACTGATGAGCTTAGCCTGGAGATTTATGAATGGCCTACACAGAGCCCTGGCTTCCAGAAGAGTGGAGGCTATTAGATATGATAGGTGTCCATAGACATTTGGCCATATGCATGAGTAAAAACTATACTTAGAAAGAAAGTTTTCAATATATTAACATAAGATTAGGTACATTAACAACTTGCCGACCAGCCGCAATACATATACTGCGACAGGTTGGCTCTTACAGGCACCGTAACGTGTCTGTACTTTGCCATTTCTCAATAGGCACTGTAGGCATATGCCTACAAGCGCCCTTCCTAGAGGGGTGCCCGTCTGTCTGTTTTGGGGTTTTTTTTGACAGCTGTCCCAAGGAGTCCCGGAAATGAAGGTCTGTCACGGACAGCTGAGCTGCTTGCAGTGAACTTAATGCAGATGGTGCCAAATCAGATGCTGCTGGGCGGGGATGTAACTTGCGGCACACAGATCCCTCCCCATACCTCCTCTGACCCCCGGTCCACAGCAGCTGATCAAGTGCTTCTATTGAGGCTTGCAGTGATTGGGCGGGACTTGGGAGGGGGTGTGGTTGTCTTGTTGATGATCACCCCGACCCACCATCTGGTGCAGGTATGACAGGTCAGTCGGGCTGCAGACATGTGCACAGAGCCATACCTCTCCAGTAAGTACTGGGGGAAGGAAGTGAGTAGAGGAGTCCAGGCCAGGGACAGTCAGGATCTCTCTAGACAGAGTGGTGAGGGCACAGACAGTGAGTCCCTAGCAGTGATCAGAGTGGAGGAGTCTCTGTACAGCTGTCCTGCATACAGAAGAGGGGGGAACACACTGAACAGGTCATTGTGTACACATTGCAATATCACCCCTCCACAGAGATGTGAGGTGGGCTGCGGTTACCAGGTCTACCCCACCCACAGTGCAAGGGGACCTCTGCGGATCCTGATGCAAAGGAAAACTCAGATGTAAGAGAGAACACTGAGGACCCTTATGTAAAGGGTAAAGTATGATGTAAGGGGGGGTGGGATTTGGTGACCAGAGACCACCTTACATCAGAGTTCCCCTTACATCACAGTCCGCAGTGTTCCCTTTACATCACAGTCCACAGTGTTCCCCTTTACATCACAGTCCGCAGCATTCCCCCTTACACATATAAAAATGTTTTATCAAGAAAAATAACTGTCTTTTTTTTTGGAAGGGGCACTTCAAAATTCTCTGCCTATAGGCTCCCGAGATGTGAATCCGGCCCTGTATGTAGCAGCATTCTTCCAGGTCCCAGAAACTTAAGCTGCCATTTGCTGCAGCACAAACCAATCAGCAGTTCCCAGCCAATGATTTATGGCTGGGACCCACTGATCGGTTGAGCAAATGACAGAATAGAGCCCTGTGTTGATAAACAACACAGGACTCTCTATAGACAGCAGTGATGTGCCGTCTTTTTTTTTCTCGCTGCAAAGCAGGGAGTTAAAAATCGGCACATTACTTAGTAAATCAGCACACTTTACACATAGTAAACCTTGTTAGGCACACAGTTGACCCCTTGATTGCCTCTAAATGTTTTTTTTTTTATTCCATAAAAGTTTATTTAGAAGTGACAACATGTTACAGGAAAATATAAAGAAATGCACACGCAGCATCAATCAGGTCATAGACACAGCTTAAACCAAAATACAGGAAGAAACAACATGGTAGAGTGCGACACTATGGATAACATAAGCATTGCAAATTACGGCAGAGATATGCCTGTAGTACTCAAGATTCAAAAATGTACAATATAGAAGGTAATAACAGCTTACTTCCACCAAGTGAATATTGGCGTACTGGCCTAAGCATGGAGGAAATGAACCTTCAGAGCCTAAACCAAAAGCAGTACACTATCATGAGGCTAAGTGAGCATCGCAGTATAAGAGAAGACGTCGTGAGTACCATTGACTATCCTAGAGGAGATAAGCTAACCATATACCAAGTAATCCTGGATAAAATGAAGATTAAGCCTGATCGAAGACTAAGAGGTTGTCGAGAAAGAAAAGAAAAAAGGGGAATAGAAAGAAAGAAAAGGATAAGAAAAGGAAAAGAATGGGAGTCATAGTAGAGAGAGAGAAGAGAAAAGAGGGGGAGAAAAAAAAAAAAAAAAAAAAAAAAGGGGGGGGGGGGGGGGGGGGAGAGAGTAAGGGGGAGAGGGAGAAGGGGGGATAAAGAGGCAAAAAAAAAAAAAAAAAAAAAAAAAAAAAAAAAAGGGGGGAAGCAAGGGAAGCGAAGGGTCCGGGCTGCGAAGTTTGTGTCAACATTGTTATTGGAGATCATAAATGAGAGTGTCAAGAATTTAAACACTCACCAAAGCTAAGCAGGCAGATATAAATTACCGGAAAAGAGGTCCTAACCACACAGATTATGAGAGAACCAAGGGCATAACCAGAGGTAGGGCTGAGCTCAATCAGGTATCCCGACCCATGAGAGATCCGAATTCAGGGGTAGTTACAAAGTGGGTCCAGCAGGCCCAAACATGTGAGTATTTAGTTGGCAGATCAAGTGCAGTCGCAATCAGTTCCTCCATTTCCGCCACTTTGCCTACTCGATTGAGCCAATCGCGTATAGTTGGGGGGTGAGTGGAGCCCCATAGCACAGGAAGACAGAGTCTGGCTGCGTTGATCATATGCATCGCTAGGGACTTGAAATATTGACTCCTAGGAATGGGGGTATGATGAAGCAATAGCTGAGCAGCAGAGAAAACTATGGGCAGAGTGGTCACTGAAGTCACCAACCGGTGGACCTCCTGCCAGAATGGTTGAATAAGTGGACAGGACCACCAAATATGCAAGAAAGAGCCATCAGGTGTCCCACATCTCCAGCACACGTCAGGGACAGAAGAGTTAAACCGATGAATTCTGGAGGGAGTACGATACCATCTAGTGGCTAATTTGAAGCCATTTTCCTGCGTCGAAACATTACTCGAGCAGGAGTGGGAGTACATAAAAATGCGGTCCCAATCCGACTCTGATAAATCCGTCTTTAGGTCTCTGTTCCACGCACGGCAAGAGGGGAAAGAAGTGCAAGTCCTGCTGTCCCCTAGGAGAGGATAAATCTCAGAGATCAAATGCTTCCGCGGTTCGGATTGAGAGCATAAGGATTCAAATGGAGTAACAGGGCGAGTCCAATTATGGCGGGATTTATGGAAAAGCAGGAAGTGTCTAATCTGAAGAAAGGCCCAGAGAGGGAATTCGCGGATATTCAAGCTAACCTTCAGCTCCTGTAATGTTTTCACCTTGCCGGAGTGAAGAAAATGTTTTACTAAAATCTGAGCGTATGGCCAGTAATTTGATAAAAAATCCTTGTGCAACCCTGGGGGAAAATCTGGATTCAGGCGGATCGACGTCAAGGGACTAGGAGAGTCCGAAACGGAAGACGTTTTACAGGCCTTACGGAAAACTTCTAACGTGGGACCTATCAAAGGATGGGAGAGGAGAACTTGAGGTGTGTGTTTCGGCAATAGCCAAGGGATCGATGGTAGGGGAGTGGGCGAAAAAGCCTTCTCCAAAAGGACCCAGTCTTTGGAAGCAGAATGAATGTGCCAATCGACTATGCGGGAAAGATGACACGCCCAGTAATAGCGGTGTAGGTCAGGGAGCCCAATGCCCCCGCTGAGTTTGGGACGAGTCAGCTGAGAGAACGAGACCCGCGGACGCTTGTGATTCCATAAAAATAAGGAACATAGTTTCTTGCAAGAAGCAAAGAATGTCAATGGAAGTTGAATTGGCAAAGTTTGGAAGAGATAAAGGAGACGCGGAAGTATATTCATTTTAATAATGGCAGCCCTACCAAACCAAGAGAAGCAGGGGCGATGCCACTTGTTTAGGTCTTCCTGTATGACTTTGAAAACCGGTAAGAAATTTTTGGCATAAAGGTCGCCCAGATTGCGAGTAAGTTGTACACCAAGATATGGAAGGGCATCCCTCACCCACTGAAATGGAAAATGAGACTCACAGAAGGAGACGAGATCAGTGGGAAGGGTTATGTTGAGGGCGTATGACTTTGAAAAATTAATTTTCAAGTTTGACAGAAAGCGGAAAAAAGCAAAGTCTTTCAGCAAACTCGGTAGGGTGGTGCGAGGGTCAGCCAAAAGATTGCCTCTAAATGTTACCCCTTCCCAACCAGTGTCATTTCTACAGTGACAGTGTATATTATTAGCACTGATTACAGTATTAGTTTCGCTGGTGATGTCAGTGTCAGTTCCCCCTAACATCAGTTAGTGTCAGATTGCCCGACACACTATTACAGTTTCACTGTAAGTCGCTGATCACCGTCATTAATTATATAAAAAAATAAATAAAAATTCCAGTATCTATGCTATAATTTGCAGACACTATAACTTTCACACAAACCAATCAATATACCCATTGGGATTGTTTTACCAAAGACATATAGCACAATACATTTTGGCCTAAATTTTTAAAGAAATTTGATTTTTTGCATTTTTTATTGGATATGTTTTATAGCAGAAAGCAGAATATAGTTTTTTTAAATTATTTTGTGTTCATCCATCTGTTTTTAGCATACAGGATTAGATCGGATGCCGGTGGGTGTCAGCGGACACCCACTGCTCCATAGGGAGCTATGGATGGTCTAATCGGGTCTGCTTGAAAGACTGACAGGCAGACCCGATCGAACTGTCAGTGTGAAAGGGGCCTTATGTTTGTTACTATTTATAGATTTTTATTCTACAGGTATTGGGGCCAGCCTTATTGGCCCATTATGTATGAATGCTACACTTCCTGTTCAGGAGCCCAGTTTTGTGACTGGCTATAGAAATGAAAGGGAGAATGTAAATCAACTTTGTGTATAAGGAGCCCAGGGGCGGACAGACCATTTTGAAACTTGGGCACTGTCCGAGGGCCCGGGGTCAGTAGGGGGCCCCATGAGAGACGCCCCTGGTACCTTTTTCATAGGCTTTTTTGAGTTTGGGCATGGACACAGGGGCCCCATGATCCCCTATTGCCCGAGGGCCCCATGAGTTGTCAGTCCGCCCCTGAAGGAGCCCCCAAACTTGAAGTGCCTTGGGCCCCCCAAGGTCTATATCTGGCCCTGGGCACACCTCTTGTACTTGTTAGTGAGGCCATCACAGTGATTAGCCTTCAAGTTGGCTCAAGAGTGGGGAGATCAGAGATCAGAGCCAAAAGACACCGTAACCTTGTTGGTATTTGCAGGCAACAGGAGGTAAGAATCTCCCCATTAGGAAAAAAAAATAGAGGACAATAAAAAAACAGACCAAAGTTTCTAACCTTTCTTTACTCAAAAACATTTGCAGGAGTTGGGTTTTAAAGTGGTTGTAAACCCTTATATATACCCAGTGAAGTGACTGGCCTCAGGAGATACACAGAGATTAAACAAATTCTCCTACATGAGTTGTACCTGTTTATCTATAGCTGTCTTTCCCCTACATCCATTCAAAGTGCAAAATCTATACAGGATCCCTCAGCTCTGAAAAGCAGGGGGTGGGGAGCTGAAGTTACATGAGTGAAGAGAGCTGTAAGAGCTGATTGGAAAAAAGAGACCCCCCCCTTCACACAGCTCAGAGGAACAGAGCTGAGGTTGTCAAGCTGCGAGGTCCCTCCCCTGTTACCATTTCTATCTTGGTGTCAGGAAAACTTGTCAGAAGTGATTCCTGCTGATAGCAGAGCAACAAAGCAGCAGACAGAAATGACACTTAGGGCTTGTTCACACTTGACTAAATTTCTAATTCTTTACAAATGTGCCTATAGCATTAGTATGGGCGTTATACAGGCATTAAGGAGCTTTAGTATGGGCGTTAGACAGGCGTTAAGAAGCTTTAGTATGGGCGTTAGACAGGCGTTTAATAAACTTTAGTATGGGCGTTAGGCATTAAGAAGCTTTAGTATGGGCGTTAGACAGGCGTTAATAAACTTTAGTATGGGCGTTAGGCGTTAAGAAGCTTTAGTATGGGCGTTAGACAGGCGTTAAGAAGCTTTAGTATGGGCGTTATACAGGCGTTAAGGAGCTTTAGTATGGGCGTTAGACAGGCGTTAATAAACTTTAGTATGGGCGTTAGGCGTTAAGAAGCTTTAGTATGGGCGTTAGACAGGCGTTAAGAAGCTTTAGTATGGGCGTTATACAGGCGGTTAAGAAGCTTTAGTATGGGCGTTAGACAGGCGTTAATGAGTTTTAGTATGGGCGTTAGACAGGCATTAATGAGTTTTACTATGGGCGTTAGACAGGCGTTAAGAAGCTTTAGTACGGGCGTTAAACAGGCGTTAATGAGTTTTAGTATGGGCGTTAGACTGGCGTTAATAAGCTTTTTAGTATGGGCGTTAGACTGGCGTTAATGAGCTTTAGTATGGGCTTTAGACTGGTGCTTTAGTATGCTTTAGACTGGCTTAATGAGCTTTAGTATGGGCTTTAGACTGGTGTTAATGATTGTTAGTATGGGCGTTAGGCTGGCATTAAGAAGCTTTAGTATGGGTGTTAGACAGGCGTTAATGAGCTTTAGTATGGGCCTTAGACTGACATTTTACAAGTGTTAAAAATGCTCCCCAAATGCCCTATGCACAGTTTTACAAGCACAAAACCTCACCACAAATGCCTATAATAAACTGTAATGTTATTAACGTGCCGCAACTGCACTGCAAATGCCCTGCAAACGCCTGTCAGCACGTTTGTGGAGCATCACCATAGACTTGAATGGGAGACATTCAAAGGCTTCAAAACTCCTCCAGACACGACATTAGGCTTTCATTTTGAAGCAACGCAATGCTAACAGTTCATGATGCACTGTGTGCTGCCCATAGTAACATTTGCATAGGCATTTGAGGAGCGTTAAAAATGCCCCCCGCCCAAACATTTGCTTTCAATGCCAGCGTGAACTAGGTCTTAGTGCTCTTAATTGGGATAAGTACACACTATAGAAGGATATGCTTTGTTCATATTTCATGTCTGAAGTTTACAACCACTTTCAGCCCTAGTTCACACTGATGCGGTGCGGAATTCGCAGCATATTCTGTGCAAATTCCACACCGCAACAGAATCACACCCCGTTCATGTTAAGTTAACAATACCCCGAAAGTGGTTCGCAAAACACGGTGTGATGTGCAGAATCGGATCACATAGGTGTGAATACCCATGCGATCCGATTCTAGTGCGGACCCAAAAAAGGGCCCTGCACCTTTATGGTGGGGTGCGATTAGAGCCATACAAAATGTATGGCAATCACATCGCACACATATCGCATGTGATTTGCACAGGAATGCGGTGTGGTTCCTGTGCGAATCACATGCAATATACCGCACCGCGTATATGTGAACCCAGGCTCAAGCAGACCTAAACTTGGGAATGTTGGGGGCCCCCAGATGTTATGGCTATAATGTGCAAGGTTTTTCAGCAATAGACTTTTTATCTTGCAATCCAAAGCAAGAATGGTCTTTGCATCATTCAAGCAAATGTAGACTATTTTGTATTGTACTTCAGAATTCCAGCAAGAAAACGCTGACATTGGAATCCCCAAAGCCATAGAGTGGTTTGCTGTGACAGCTATGGGTGGAAAAACCCTTTAAGGACATCTGTCTGTCACAAGACTTCAGACAAGTAAATATAGTTATGTCATTAAAATGTATGGGATGGCTGCTGGAGTAATGAAATAGCGGAGCAGGTAGAGTTTATATTTACATACGTCCAGCCTGTAGTGGAAAGGCTGCTTCTCTAATTAGCTTCAGCAACCTAATTAAAATCAACCGGATTTTTCCAGGGCTAGGTTAGCTGCAGTATACCATGCTTGCATTAACCCTGCAGTCAGTAGGGTGCCTACAGAAGAACACCAGGCCTAATTTATCTGTGTATTTGACATAGGAACTGTCTGTTATCTGACTGCAACCAATCAGATTTTTATCTGCTGTGGAAAACGATGTTGGTGGTTTTTAATGGTGCAGTGAGTTTCAAATGGATCTTGAAAGTTAATGAAGCTCTGTTCATTTATCCTGGACCTGTTCTTGAGGCTAAAAACAAGCCCTCATTAATTTTTTTTTTTTCACAAAAATGTCAAAAAGGAAAACACAAAAATACTATTAGAGATTCTGTATATAGCCCTACAGATCAGACAGCGCACACTTCACATGTGCTTTCCGGCTTGCTTCACTGCAAACAGGAAAAGGGAACTTTATTATTCAGAGAAAAGTCATAGAGTTTACCATAGATGCAGCTACAACCTTATAAACACTGCCATCTACTGGTTGGAGAATATATCTCTACTGAATGCTGATGCAGTTGTCGCATAAAATACATGAGCACTGTATTCCAACAAAGAACACTAAGAGCCTGTAAATGTTTGGGTACATTAATGCGCACTATATTGCACAATAACATTCATTGTGTTAAGGCAGCCTTTTGAAAATAATGAGCTGCCAATACATCTTGAAACAGACATGTCACATTTCTAAAGCATGCAGGTGTCTCTATTGCTCCTCCATTCAGAGGGGAGATGCCCTAACACAGGAAGTGCCCACATGGAAGAAAAATATATTTTAAAATATTTTAAAAATAATCGTCCCAAATATATTGACACATATTTTAAATATTACTATGTTGACCGTATTCAATATATATATAAAAAAAAATTTAAATATATATATATATATATATATGTGTATATGTATATATATATATATATATATATATATATATATATATATCATATAAATATATGTATATACTGTATGTTGAAATGCATTTGTTATATATTACAAAATATATGAAAAATATTTTTAAAAATACATTTTCAAATATTTATACTGTATGTCTTTAAAAACACATGTAATCTACATTTTTGGAATGCAACTACAAATATATTACAAAATATATGTGAAAATGACTTTTTTATATGTAAAAAAAAATCTGAAGAATATATTTAAAAATATATATTTTTAAAAATATTTTTCATATATATTTTGTAATATATAAAACACACTTCAATATACAGTGTGTGTGTATATATATATATATATATATATATATATATATATATATATATTTTTTTTTTAAATATATTGAGTATGTCCAAAATTGTAGTATTTCACATATATGTCAATATATTTGGAAAGAATATTTTCAAAGTATATTTAAAATATATTTTTTTCCATGTGGGTGTGACCGAGTGAAATTAAGAGAAAAAAGAAAACTAATGCAGCCACTACATCTAATGCTTGATAAGCTGAATATATATAACACTTTTGTTTTTGGGTTTACTGCTGCTTTAAGCTTGGGACCAGAGGCTGTAATATTCAATGTATTACAAATACAGCGAATGTCACTGGTGAATCCTGCCAGTGAATTTGGTTTATAACTACCCAATGGGATCCCAGCGGTGAAGAAGCAGCAAATGATCATCAAACAGATCTTTTGACATCATTTATAAAATGTTGGTTTATACGGTTTGTTTTTTGATCATAGGGTTACTTTAAGTGTAGCGTTTATCCTGCAGCGTGGCTTCATGTAAGATATAATTTAACATCATTGTCTTTCCACTATGTAGAAGACCTCGCTTGGTTCACTTGCTACCTGCTACAGATGTCAGTCTGGCTGTATTGTACAAGACTTGTCTGTCTGCATTTCTCTCGCTTGTGCTGATGTTCCCTCTGTGCCAATGACCATAAGCGAACCCTCTTTAAAACAGGCAAACGTTGGAGATGCACTGGGGCGCATTTTAATCGCCGTAGTTTCAGCGGAAATGTCATCGCGTATTTGATGAGTGGAAACATTGTTGTTAAAGGTTAACAACTTCTTTGACATTATTTCCACTTAATCAGACATAAGCCGTGTTGGGAGTCACTCATCTTCCAACTTTTTCCCTCCAGGACATTAAGGGGAAGCATAAATGTTTTTGGTCAATTTCATATTTTTCCTAATTTGCTTCA